TCATGCGGTAAGCACTAAATTGAGAAAGAGTATTTATGAAATTTTCGACGTGGTTATCAGTGTTTAAATTTATCAAGTTTAAATTAAAGTCTCCGAGTAAGTATAGATGTTTTTAGAGGTTTGAGTTAATATTCGCCTTAAGTCATTTTCAAATTGATTGTAACTGCCATTAGGTGGTCGATATAAAACTGTTATAAACGAATTTTTTTCTTTTTGGTTTATTATCTCTATAGTTAATGATTCGCAATTTGAGTTATTCACACTTAGATTATCTACTTTTTTATACGTCAACGAGTTGTGAATAAATATGCATACGCCTCCGCCAATACCGTTTTTTCTCGGTTGGTGAACAGACTTGTAATCTGTTAAATGCAAATTAGAGTTACTCATATCTTCACTCTGACACCAGGTTTCTGTAAGACAGATTATACTGAATTTAATACTTATATTATTTAGCATTAATTTTAGATTTTCAAAATTTTTGCTCATGCTTCTAATATTTATATTTAGTAATGATATGTAATGTAGTGATTTATTTAAAATACTTGTAACCTCATGAACTTTAAAATAGTTAGTTTCTAATGAATAATTGTCAAGAATGTTTACGTCAGGATCAATGTTCTTTAAAAAGTGACGTACGTTTTCACCAGGAAATGTTTTAAAAAAATTATAATTAATTGTTTCCGCCATTTATAAAGACAAGAAAAAAATAAAAATAAAAATTAAAAAAGTTAAATAAATAAAACTGCATTACTTTTACTTTGGAACATTGATCGAGTATTTTACCGCGTTTCTTAAATGAATAATTTTGTCATACCTCACTGCAAGGTTTTCTCCCTTTAGACGTCGTTCTTTAACTTCTGCAAATAACTTTTTCCTAATATCAACTGTCATTTTAGAGAAATCTTCGTTGACATATATATTTGATCCTTTTAATCTATTCGTTTCTTTCAATATTTTCATTTTCTGCTTTCTAACAACACCGTAACCAATTGAGAGATGGTCCGGAGCCGAGATAAGAGCAGATACTACACTTGATCTTAGCCATTAGGTCGAGAAACGATTTATTGCTTTTTTAAGCGTTTTATTGCTTTTTTAAAAAACTGCGCGATTCATAAATTGATCAACTTAACTAAAAAATGGGTATTTTTTGCTTGTAGGCCTTTATAAGTTCTTACTTTTGGTTGAAATATTTAAAAAATACCCAACACAGCTATTTGAAAGCGAGTTTTATGGCTTCTTCTTATTTTTCAAATATATTGACTTAAAAGGTGTTACTAAAATGTTCATATCTTTTTAAATATTAGAGATATTTTTTTTTCTGTTAAAAGATTAATAACCAATCCAAACCTGCGTCGATTTTTGTACAAACGGGACAAATAATGAACATAACTAAATTTCTTTCATTTTTGTTACTTTTTATCAAAACAAAATACGAAAAAACACCATTTAGATATTTATTATATTTATTGCAAATATAAAAATTGTTAGACCATTATAAATTAAAAAAATTTACTTAAACTAAAGGTGTTATGAAACATGGATTATCAACGACATCAAAATCGTTGAGAAAATGTTCTAACTTTTATGTTTTATCATCGCTTCAAAAACGTAAGTACCAGTTTACTCAAAAAACTAGAGAAATTTGAAAATTATGACAAGTTTGAAAGCGTATTTGACATAACTAAAAGAACATAAACATTTTTATGATTTTAATATGCATAAAAGGTTAAAATTTTAATAACTTATGTCATCCATCAAAAGTATTACGTTTGGCATTTAAAAAAATAACTTTTATAATATAAATGCATTAAAAACAAACTTTTTGTAAATGATGACATAAGTGATGGATGACATAAGTTTTAGAAAGATAAAACACTCATGAATAAGTGTTCCGAGATTCAACAGTCCAGCATAAAGATAAGTCAAGCAATTTTAGTTTTCCCAAGACAGGTTTTTCGTAAATATTGTAATAAACAGAAAAGTGATCACAAATCATTGGAAAAATTTATTTTTATTCCGTTTAATGTAATTACTTATTTTACAAAGTAAGATAGATCTTTGATTTGAAGATGAAAATTGTTTAGAGCAAAAAAAATTTTTATACTTTTTATGCGGAAATACTTTTTGTTTTGATAAACTTGTGACGTGACTTTTTGTAATAAGCTCAAGCTTGTTTTTTTATTGAGTGAAACGTGCAAAATACTACGATGATAAAAACCATATTTTTGAAACAAAATATTAATTTTATTACTTATACTACAAAGTAATTTGTGTGTATGTTTGTGTGTATGCATATATTTTTGCATAGATAAGTTACATTGGTAAGAAAGGAATGAACTTCCTAATTAAATGCTCTTCCACGGTGCTCTGTGTTAGGTCTTCTTATAGAGACTTAATGAACAAATAAAAAAGAAAATATTATTTTATTAATTCATCCTTTCCGCCCTCTGGGACGTTGAAGTATTTTCTATTTAAAATAAGGAATAGTAGCAGTAACCAAGCAAGATTTTTAAGCGCCTTACCATCAAACTGCGTCTTTTTCTAGATGCAAAGAATAACAAATTTATTATTTTGTATTGTTTTTAAAGTGAAACAAAAGTTATAATATATGTTACCTTGATTATTTTGTTCATAAATTAGATACGTAATTTTAGAAGTAAATTTAAGAAGTAAAAAAATACACCAGCACAAAGGTTGACTTTGCACTTCTATATGTAAACTGTCATTCTGTCTAAGGTTAGCTCATTAGCCATTTCTAAATCCTATTTATTATTTATATATATTTATTATTATCCTTTATTTTATTTATTTATTATTTTATATAAAGTATTTGTAATGTTGCTTTAACGACGCTATTAGTGGGGCCAGGGTGCACGGCGTCCCCCCCCCCTCACCCAACACACACTTTTTATTTTAGAAATTTCAAGTCATAGAGGACTTTTTTAGAAATTTATTTTTATGTCCCTCTCCCCTCTTCAAAATCCGTAAATTATTAAATTTGGTAATAAAATTACTTCTAAAAACTAGCGATCTTTTTCATTAACTTTATTTTTCATTAAATTTATTAAAATTTTTGAGTTCGAGTTCGAACTTAATTAACTATATATATATATATATATATATATATATATATATATATATATATATATATATATATATATATATATATATATATATATATATATATATATATATAGTTAATTCAGTTCGAACTCGAACTCAAAAATTTTAATAAATTTAATGAAAAATATATATATATATATATATATATATATATATATATATATATATATATATATATATATATATATATATATATATATATATATATATATATATATATATATATATATATATATATATATATATATATATATATATATATATATATATATATATATATATATATATATATATATATATATATATATATATATATAGGTGAGAGCTGCCAAAATTGTAACACTTAAGGAATAAATCTTTTTTAATCAAAGATGATTTAACTATGAAAGACTTTATGAATTGAATTATATAGACATACAACCTTACTACGACTTTATTGATCGCACCCTTATTGGAAATAAACTTTGATTTTCATGGTACTAATTAATTCCAATAAAGGCAACTGGTCTCCTTGAATGGAACACATAGATTCCTTAATTGGAATAGCTCTAACATTTGAATAAATTCAGCTATAAAAACACATAGCTCACAGGAATAATTTAACGAACAGCTTTTTAATAAAAGATGTTACAACAAATAAAAATTACAACAAATATTTAATCCTTTTTTTTTAATTCATAAGTCCTTTTTTCTTGCAACTTTTGCATTTAGGATGGTGATTTTTGATATGCTGTGGTGGCGATGGTGATTTTATTTAATGTGCTCAATTTCATTTCACGGTGGTAATTGGGTCAGGTGCTACTTTTTTTTTCTTGTGATTTGTGCAATAATTTAGATTTGGTGCTTTTTTTGTTGTAGATTTTTAAATTTGTTTGGAGGCTATTAGATTTAGTGTGCACTTTTGATTTTTAGTGTAGTTTTTAGAACACGCCTATATGAGGAGCTTGTATAATCAGCCGCCTGAATTAGCAAAAGAGACAAAGTTGAAACTGAAACATGACGTTTTAACTTTTTTTCCAATTGATTTATCTGAAGATAGTTTTATCATCATATATATAATTTCAGATCACTTTATATTGTTAGAAGGACCAACATCAGTAAAAAAAGTTTTTCAAATCAGAATCAGTAAATACATTCATGTCCAATTCTCAAAGATGATGTATGCGTCACCAAACAATTCTGCCACTTGCCAAGTTGTTACTGGTTGTGATATATGTGAACGCATCCATTTTCGCATATCTTCATCATAGTATGTATCAAGTGGTCCAAAGAATGCAACGTCTAATGGTTGCAGTCTGTGTGTAGTATGGGGAGGTAGTGTTACCATAAGCACTCCAGCATTTCGTGCTAGATATATCGCGGCAAAATTTTTTGCATGTGTAACATGACCATCAAGTATCAACGAAACATTTAATTATTTTAATGGTTTAACAACTTTAATGAAATGATTGAGCTAATCTAAAAAACTTTTATTTGACATTCAACCTGCTTCTTGAGGACTAAATACTTTTTTGCCTATGCTAAAAAAACTAATGCTTCGTAAAGATGTGTCAATTTAATTATTGAAATCAACTTTAACGTAAACATAGTAAATATACAAGTAGACAAAAGCGTTGTTGCGAGGCACTTGTTCGCATTTAAACCCGCGAACGCATTCGCAATTTTAAAATCTTGTGTAAGAATAACAAATTCATCTCATCTCATTTTTATTATATTTTTTTATTATTGCTATGTAATACTTTTTTGCATAGTATTAGAGAAAATCATAGCTACCCTTTTTGCTACAAGAACTCAATGATTCAATTAAAAAGTTTGATCACTAAATACTAATGTTTTATTTTAGAATAGAAATCCAAATAAAGAGCATTATTGACGAAATCTTTTGATAAGATTTTGACATTAATGGTTTTTTAAATTCTTTTTTAGACAAAAATAATTTTAAAAAATGAGTGGTGGTGTATATGGTGGTGGTAAGGAAATAATAAAGTTATATCATTTAATATTGTTGTTTTTTACTTTTATTTTCATAGGGGATCTTTTTATGCAAAATTGTGAAATAGCCTAATATTAAGGTGACCAATCGTCCTCCTTTTGGAAGGACAGTCCTCCATTTTTAGGTTTTGTCCTACCTTGATCAGTGTCCTCCTACTTTTTACTTCCTTTTTGGTATCTTTAAATTTTTTTTTAATATTTTAAAACTTATTGCAACACTTTAATATGAGTGATTTCTGATTAGTTAAGGCCATTTATCCTCTCACTTTAACTCAATTCTCAGCTCACATCAGGATATGACTTGTAGCGATATATTTTATTGTTGAGGGTCAATCGTTTAACTAGTATGAAGTGTTTTTGTTTTTTGATATTTGCAAATATTTTACTTTAAAGTTTTAGAAGTATGGATGCACAATGTGCACAATACGCACAAGTAAATTAATAAAAAAATTTTATAATGCTAAATTTTCATTATAATATAATTGAAAATAATTTGAAATCTAAAGTTATTGCTCTAACAACGCTGATAATACAAATACAAATTTTGGTGTGCAAAAACGGAAAGGAGTGAAAAATCTCCATGTAAAATTACAAGATTTATTTTAAAAGAAGATACTAGGAATTGGTTTTCATCACATTTTATCAAATACAATTAACACAGCATCATGTGCACTGCCAATTGATATAGAAGTTATGATAACCATAGTTTATCTGTAGTTTCGTTGTTATACTGTCCATGTGGCTGCTTTTGTTGTTATACTGTCCATGTGGCTACAATTTTGCAAAGAAGCAAATTTTAAATACCTAAAGTTTTTAGGATATTTGAAATATAAATTGAAATATTGAAATAATATTGAAATTGAATATTGAATATAAATTAAAAGAAAATATTGAATATTGAAATAAAAAAGAAGTTAGATGGTTTGCTTATACACCTGCCATCGAGCGTGTTTTAAAATTATTTGAACCCCTCTGTTCATATTTTTGAAGTTTAGAAAAATGTCCAAAAATTCTGGAGTCTTAATTCAATAAAGAATAATCAGAGATATTTATGTATTTTGTATACAATTAGTCAACTTTATTTTACAAAACAATTCAAAATATTGAAAGCAATAATATATTTCCTGCAGAAGTTAGTATTTTATAAAATGATTTTATCCTTCAATGTAAATCATGACTTAAAGATTTATCCCTTAATTGATTAAAAAAAAAAAAAAAATTAGAAGAACCAAATTCTGGGGTGAGAGATAAATTTACCAAAGAAGTGCAGAATTTTTACCAAACATGTTTTTAATATGTCGAAGAAAGTTCTGAAACAAATATCATAGGATATAACAATTTTCAATGGTGTTTTTTGAATTCACATGTTAATTAGTAAAATGGAGCAGTTGAAAGAGTTTTTTTAATTGGTCATGATTTCTGGACTAGTGAAAATCGAGATTAATTATTGATACTCAGTAGCACTCGCTGTAAAATTTGAAACACATATCATACTCTGAAATTTCTATTGAAATATAAATATTGTTAGAAAATAACATATTGACAAAAAGTATCCACTAAATAATTAAATACTAATTTAACTAGATATTTAATTTTAAATAATTTTCAACTTGGCGACTACTTAATAAAAAGGAAAGCATAATAAGCATATTTTTATTTTAATAAAGTATTTAATTTATTTACGTAGTAATTTTTCAAAAATATTTTGTCCTCTTTTTCATTGAAAAAAAAAAAAGGTTACCTTACTAATATGAAATAGTTTTATGTTAAATAATGTAAGAATTTAAAATTAAATGCTCTATTTTAGGTTAAAGACTATAAAATTTATGCATTCAGTTATCTAGATGTCATTTTTAAATAGAAAGTTGCAAATCATTTGTTTTGAAAATAATGGAATAAGAATTAATTGATGATTACATCATGACCATACAATGCAGACTTAAGTTTGATTTATATTTAAAAATACAACTTTCTTTTTCCTATTTAAAACTTTTTTTTAAGATTTTAAATATAATTTTTCAAACAGGGCAATTATTATGTTTATTATCTCGTAATTCGTATTAACGTTGGAAATTAGGAAATATAAAGGAAACAATTTCAGGCAGGCATTAATTGTAATAAATACATTTATAAAAGAAACCATGCTATTGTTTTATTCAATTTCTTCTGTCATTACAAAATTAATTAATCAAATAATATATTTTACAAATAAATAGCAATTTATTTTCTCATTTTCCTTTTATACTAGGTTGGTTGAAAAGTTCGCGGAGCGGAAATGAAAAAACAATTTTATGATTAAAAAAATGACTTTATTCTTCAGTATATTCTCCCTTAAGAGCAATACACTTTTTCCAACGATTCTCCAATTCATGTATCCCATCTCTGAAGTGCGATTCCGGAAGGCCTTCAAAATACCCATTTACGGCTGCAATGACTTCTTCATGTGATGAGAAACGCTTTCCACGTAGAAATTTTTTGAGATGTGGAAAGAGGTGGAAGTCGGACGGAGCCAGATCTGGTGAATAGGGTGGATGTTCCAAGCGTTCGTACTTTAATTCGACCAATTTCGCCTTTGCAACATCGCTGATATGAGCAGGTGCGTTGTCCTGGTGATAAATGATTTTTTTATGCAGCAAACCAGGTCTTTTCTCACGAATTTTTTTATCCAACTGGTCCAAAAGATTTTTATAATATTCACCTGTTATCGTTTTACCGGTTTGAAGGTAATCTATTAATAAAATTCCTTTCGCATCCCAAAAAACTGATGCCATAACCTTCTTTGACGATTTTGACGCCTTCACTTGCTTCGGAGCTGAACAACCGGGTTCTGTCCATTCTGCAGTTTGTTGTCGCAGCTTCGGATCATAGTGGTAAACCCAAGTCTCATCCATGGTTACGAATCGACGCACAAAATCTGTTTTATTCTTTTGAAAACGGGCCAAATGTTCTTGAGAAAGTTTTACTCGAGTGCGTTTCTGATCCAGAGTTAGCGAATGCGGCACCCATCTTGCCAACAGCTTTCTCAGACGTAATTCATCGTGCAAGATGTGTAATACCCGTTCATCTGAGATGCCCACAGCCTCAGCAATTTCACGTTTGGTCAATCGTCTATCATCCATAACCATGTCATGCACAGCATTAATCGTTTCTTCAGTAGTAGCACTTTTTGGACGTCCAGAGCGAGGGTCATCTTCAAGGCTTGAACGCCCACGTTGAAACTCCGCAGCCCATTTGCATACTGTTGTTTTTGAAGGAGCATCATCACCCAACACATTTACCATTTCATTATGAATTTCCATGGGCTTTAAACCTTTTTTCACAAAGAATTTTATTACAGCACGATGTTCAATATTTTCCATTTTAAAAAATACTATGACACGTCTAATTTCAATAGCTTGTAAACAAAGACTGAAATGACATATCGACTTGAAATTTTTTATGCGTTCATACGAAGAATGAATACGTTTAATACAGTTATAAATTTGTTTCTACTACTGCAACATAGGTGCCGCTCCGCGAACTTTTCAACCAACCTAGTATAAGTATTGAGAAAAAATGTGAAATAAGGCAAAAACATTTTTAAAAGCAAAAAAACGTTTTTAAAAGTGAAAATAAATAAACACAAGAAAAAATTAACAAAATTTCTCATAGTTCTAGTGTATATAGCAAATTAGTTTTGCTAATAATTAATACGGACTAATTATTAATAATTAATCTGTATTAATTATAATTCTTTTCTATATAATCCTAAATAATTATATGGAAAAGTTGCATATCAAAACTTTCAATTGTCGTTAAATTGTTATAAAACATGCTTATAATTATATTCTCAGTATATAAGTTTAGCTTTTTGCCGCAAATTATTGAATCGCTTTAAAAGTTAAAAGAAGCAAACTGCTGTGGTCAACTGCTGTGGTCAACTGCTGTGGTCAACTGCTGTGGTCAGTGTATCTGAAAAAATTACTTTAAATGTGAATGAACAATGTGTGCAACGACAAAAAATGGTTGCGTGTGCAGGGTTGTACAGGAATGGTGACAATTTTACTATGACTGTTTAGATATTTTGATGATTTAAACATTTCAGAAATGCACTGAAAAAAGAAACGCTAAGTTAAACTTAAACTAGGGAAAAGAAAAAATTAATAAATAAAAAAATTCCTCACAAAAAAGAAAATATATAAGCTTTAAAATAAAACTCAAAAAACTCAAACGCAAGTTTTTGTTACGTTTTTAATTGCGTTTGAAATAAATTACTTTATAACTTATTTTTCCAAAAAGTTGTCTTTTTAATATAGTAATCATTTCATGCTCTGATTACTATATTTAAAAATGAAAAAAAAAAAAACCTTTAAACATTTCTTTTCAGACAGAGGAACAAACAAATAAAAAAAAGTTTTAATCGGAAGATTTAATTCAACTTATTCATAATTAAAAGTTAAACTTAAAAAAAATTATCTTTTAAAAGATTTTTAAAAAGACCTGGAAAAATAGTTTCAAACGTTTAAATTTATCATAAAAATTACATGCCTACATAAAAAAATTTAAATATAATTTTTTTTTTAATTTACACAAAATGTGTTTATTTTAAACAATCATTATAATTAATTTTGTATTTTATTTAAATAAATTTTTTTATTAGCCTTCGCGTAAAACAAAAACTTTAGAAAAGATCAACGATAAAAAAAAATCGTTATGTTATTCATAACATAAATTTTTTTTTGTTGCATTTAAGTTGTTAAAATATCAAAACAACTGTGGTCAAGTTGTAAAGAAAAATAATTTTAAACACGGTCAGTTACAGTGTGCGATCGCACGCCATTCCTGTCCAAGCTTGACATGCTTCCTGGGAAGGCTTGCAGATGAGAGGTCAAATTCAAGATTAACTATCTGTTCTAAGTGATAGAAATGAGGAGACATTTTCATAAAGGAGGAGTATAAAGTTGGGTCGTCAGCAAACAAAGCCACTTTAGATGTAAGATTTTCAGGAAGATAATTAATTTAGATATGTAACAATACAGAACCAAGAATAAGTAAGGAACCAATAACCTTGAGGACCTCAAGGTTATTGGTAGGTCAAGTTGGGTACCTCAAGTTGAGGTACCCCAGAAATTTCTGAAAATATAAAGAGTGTTAGCAAAAAATGTATAATAGTTGAATAAATTAAATATAATGTATAAAAAGAAATATAATGATATAACTAGATAGAAGACTGATAGTTCAAGGGTTCAAAGTTTTTTCCAGAGTTTTAAAAAGTTAAAATCATGGACACTGTTTTCCAGCAGGTAGGAAAAGAAGGTTTAGTCAAACACTTATTAAATAGTTTTGGAGAACACTTTTGTAAGACTATGTTGTCTGGAGAACACTTTTGTACTCGTATTGGAGAACACTTTTGTACTCGTATTGGAGAACACTTTTGTACTCGTATTGGAGAACACTTTTGTACTCGTATTGGAGAACACTTTTGTAAGATGTTGTCTGGATCACAAGCTGTATAAGAGTTTAATTGATGACTTTAGTAATGAAGCCAGTGTGATTTGGATGTCTAGCGATGTGTTAGCATGTTTACCTGGAATGGCAGGAAGAGTGTGGCTATTAGATTCCAATATATAGAAGAGTCCAATTAGAGGAAATTTTGTAAATAGTTCTGGCTTATTTGTGGGAGAGGTAATAAGCTCAGACCCATGAGTTAAAGATGGAATCTTAGACTTTTATTTGTTAATAACAATGTTGAAGATTTTTCAAAAGTCTGATTTCTTGAAATAATAGAGATTTGTTTTCAAGAAATTCATTCTTATGATGAAAAAAATGATTAGATATTTTTTCTTAGAAGCTGCATAAGAATGTGAAAGCTGTGGAGTATAGTAAGGTTCTACTTAGAATAAAATTCTACTTAAAACCTAATTCTTAGGTTTTAAGTAAAACTTTATTCTAAAAATCCCAGTCAGCTTTAAGGTAGTAATAAAAAAAAAGTGAATAAATGAATAGAAGTAGTACAAGATAAAAAATTTAGAGAGACTATTTCATGTATGGAATCACCTATATAGAGATTATTGCATGTTCAGAACCACCTAAGGGAGACCAAGAAGTTAATTAATTCATCTAATTTGTTGACAAATAGATGAATTGATGCATAAGTATGCCAAACCAAGCTTTATTGGAATCTTTTGGAATCAAAGAATATTAGCCATCAACACTTCTAAAGACAAAACAGCCGATAAAGAAACAGCCCAATTCAAATAAGTCTTGTGAGTTTTTCAAGAAGTAATTTTAAACTGATGGAATATTTGTAAACAATAGATTGAAACAGTTAGATGGTGGTTATGTTTTTTTTATGTTTAATATTTTGAGGTAAAAAGAAAAAGTATGTAAGTAGATTCAAGGAAATATAGCATTTATCATCCTTGGCAAGAAACAATATAACACAGATTTACATCTACCAGCCTAATTTATGAAATAGGGGTGCAAAGCTGATTAACAGAATTTTTCTGTTTTAAAAGTGTATTTCTATTATTCAATTTCTAATTTTTTTTTTATTCTCTTTCTGTATATATTCTGTTATTATATGTTTATATGTATATTCTATTATTCTATTTTTGTATATATTCTGTTTCAAGTATATTCTGTTGCTATTTTCTATTCCATTACTCTATTACCATTTTCATTTTATTTCAGAAGTTTCTTAATCCTTCCAGTTTTTAAAAAATCACTTTTTTATAACTTATAAAAAAAAAGTTATATTAACTTGATCTTGAGTCTAGAGGGAAATATTTTAATGACCATTACCTCCCATCCTCCTCCAAATATTATATAGCTAATCTTTTTATAAGAAAAAATTTATAAATAAAATTAGAATAAACCAAACTTTTTTCTTGGCGGTCTCCAGAGAGCACAGTGATAAAGAGGTAAACTTTATAAGTTCAGATTAACAGTTTAAATCTGATGGAACTCTAAATACTTTATATTTTACTTTGTTTTTCATACAAAACAAAATTGTTTTTAAATAGTAGACAGTGTTGTCCAAAAATATTTGTACCTTATGCAAATCAAATTTTTGTACATTAAACAGAGAAAAAATAAAATATTTAAAAACCTTGTGAAGCAATTTTCTGCAGCAGCCACAGTTTTTATTACTTATATAACTATAATATTCTTGTATTTTGCCACAACACCCTTACAACACCCTTACTTAACACCCTTACTGACACTTACATGTTATATTTATTGTCTATATATTGATTTTTCTGGTAATTTCATCCTCTACCATTATAAACTTCTAAAAATTTTAAATAAAATTTCCAGATTTTACTTTTTTTAATTTAATTAATATTTTCAGTAATTGTTTTTATATTGGCTATGTCTTGTATATTAATTGTTTTTATATTGGCTGTCTTGTATATTAATTGTTTTTATATTGGCTATGTCTTGTATATTAATTGTTTTTATATTGGCTATGTCTTGTATATTAATTGTTTTTATATTGGTTATGTCATGTCTTGTATATTAATTTTTTTTATACTGGTTATGCCATGTCTTGTATATTAATTGTTTTTATATTGGTTATGCCATGTCTTGTATATTAATTGTTTTTATATTGTTTATGTCATCTATATTAGATGTTTTTATATTGGCTATTTCATGAATATTAGATGTCATTTGAGACCAGTTATTTTGCAATTAAAATAGGCTGGGATTGAAAACAGTAAAGGGTTTAAAAATTAGGAAATTTTACGTAATTAATTGTAGGTAGTAACCAGCATCTCAATTTGTTAATTATCCTTTAGTGTGCAGAAAAAAATTAATGTTTGCAATTTTTTTATAGATGAAGTTGGTGCTGTTGTATTTGATGTAGGTTCATATTCTACAAGAGTTGGGTATGCTGGAGAGGATTCACCTAAGGTATTCATTATTACAAATATTTTGTGTATTTTAATTTTTTAAGTTAACTAAATAAAAATTAAATAAATATTTACACCAGCAAATTGGGTGGCTAAAAACAGAATATCTGAGCTTCTTGAGAGAAAAGATCTATCTATATAGTAAATTTATTTAGACTTCTTTTTAATAATAACATTAGGCGGGTCTTCATTTTCAGATTTTAGAAAGGTTAGTAGGACAAATTGTTGAAAATAACTGAGGTATATCATTATTTTGAACTGATGCTTTGTGTACGGAGGTTACAAATTTTTCTGCTGAAAACTGGATTTATTCTCTCTGTGATGAAAGGAATAAGTTTGGTAAAAAGTTTAGGCTACCAAATGTATCAAAGAAACAAAGTAGAAATAGAAACAAAAGATTAAATAAATAAAATAAATCCCTATATAAATAAAATCTTAAATAAATAAAATGTTGCATCAAAAAGAAAAGATTCCCAAACAAAAGCTCACAGATACAAGCAGAAAACGAATCTAAAAAGGAAGAAATTAATTAGTGGGATATAATATGAATCAAGAAATTTCACCTAAAAATTTTAAGACTGCAAATAAAATATTATCAGAAAGTAGTTCAAATAATATCAAATAAAAAACTCTCCCAAGTAATTATTTTCAAATAATACTTTCATCAGATATTGAAGTTAAGAAAAGATTCTACTCTGATTTCAAATTCAATTGCTAAAAGATTTCATTGAAGGGTAGAAAAGATAGAAAACATTCATTCTGAACCAGCTATTTTATCATTGCACAACTTTAACAGATTCAAACAAACCAAACAAAGAATCTGCTATAAGGCTTTTAATCTAGTGGTGCACAGTTAAAAAAAACATAAGGTTAAATTTAAAAAACGCAGTCAAAAAACTTTGTCGCATGTTCTTCATAAAAAAATTTGATTTTTGAATTTGTTTTTATTTTTTTCATTTTCGTGATTTATTGTACTTTATTTATCAAGACTTTAAATTTAATAATACATAATTATTAATTTATAAGGCTTTTAAAGTTTTCTAATTAATTTATCAAAATTTTTCTTAAGACCATAAAGAAGTGTTTTTCCAAGCATAACTTGGCATAGCTACCAACTCCTAGGAATGGTAATATTTGACAAAATGGCCATTTGTATTACTACCTGACTGAGAAGCAAAACTTAGTGCTAAGTATTTTTTAAATAAAAAAGGATGGTCCTGCATATAAAGCGGCCCTAGTTGCACATGTTTCCCTTCCAAATTTGTTTTAAAACAAGGTTAGTGGTAACCGTCTTAACATTAAAATAAATACAGGTATTGGTTGAGAATTAAATATTTTTGATTTCAAACTAGATGAGTATTTTAAAATGTTTTGGAACCATAACAAATATGCAAAGAATTGCACTTTTTGTTTTTGAAGTTGCACCTATATCTTTTTAAGATTTGTTTATGAATGGTTTTCAAATATTATTAGTTTCAAATTTGTTTAAGGCTGGTATTCAAATATTATTAGTTTCAAATCTTTTTAAAAAAGTGTCATCAATATCTGAAAAATCCTAATTTTATTAGATATCAGGGGGTCTAGACCAAGTTTAAAAGCTTTATGTGACTTTCTAACTTTTATTAATACTTCTTGTTTGTCTTATTATCCTTTAATTTATTTTCAAAAAGTTACAATTTTTATTGTTATTTTTATTATGACAGGGTGATATTTCAACATCAATTGGTGTAATTAGTGAGCCAGATGAAGCAATGGAAATAGGTAAACAAATAGTTTTATTATATTTATTATTTTGTTTTATTAGTTTATTTCATTTGAATACTTTGCTAATAATTATATTATAGAACTAATTAATAATTAGTTTATAGAACTATTTACAACATTTCTATAATGAAGTGTACATATCAATTGTTTACACAATTAAAGTGCATATTTATATATTTATAAATTAAATATATAAATGTACATTATATACATTTATGCATTAAAAATAAAATATTGTTCATAGGAGAGTATGAAATATTTTTATAAAGTGTTTCTTTTAAATAAAAACATTAATTTTTGTGTTTTACATTTATAAAAAACATTTTTCCTAAGATAATAAGAAACCTGCGAAGCGTTATCATTTTGATCCTCAGCATATGTATCCGATTAGTAATAAAGAGATTGTTAATCCATTGAAAGATGGTATGATTGAAGATTGGGATCTGTTTGAAAATTTACTTAATCATATATACAAAGAGCACATACGTGATGATTCTTCTGCTCATCCTGTACTTATGTCAGAAGCTTCAGTAAGTTTAAATATCAACACTTTTATTTTCTATACAACATTGTAAATACAACAGTTTAACTGACAACTTGAGTTAGAATTAGTGGATAAAATATTCAATTTTAGTTTATGTTTTAGTAAAATTTTAAATGATAATATAAAATAGTTTTATGTGCAATTTTGTATTTGATTTAGTGGAACACTAAAGCTAAAAGAGCAAAAATAACAGAATTGTTATTTGAGAAATATGACATTCCTGCTTTTTTCTTGTGCAAAAATGCAGTTTTAGCTGCATATGCCCATGGCCGATCCACTGGCGTTATAATTGATTCTGGTGCTACTCAAACTAGCGCAGTGCCTGTTCATGATGGCTATGTTTTACAACGAGGTCATACATTTTTTAAAGACTTTTATTTTTTTAATTTTTAAAAGTATTTTCTTTATAAATGAATTTAGTAGTTATACACTCAAAATATTTTTTGACCAATACAAGACATATTTCTTAGATTTAATAAAACGTTTAATAACTTCTCAAGTAACCTAAAACTAATCTTAAAATATTAGAGCAAGAAGAGAACATAGAAGTATAGCTTGGCCCCTAGAAGGATAAATGACAGAGTAAATGCTGGATACTGAACACCCTGAAGGATCATCTCCTTAGAGAATTAAAGTGTTTTATAAAAGAGCTCATGATTTGGCAATACCCTCTTAACTGTAGGGCTGATGACTAGGTACTAACCTTATGACAGTAGGGCTGATGGCTAGGTACTAACCTCATGATGGTTAGGTACTACCTTCATGACGGTAGGGCTCAGCAAGAATTGTTCAACATTTATTTTAACTAGCTTATTTTAGTTACATGATAAAAGAGCTCCCAAGAAAAGACATTTTTGAATTTTCAAATGATCGTATGATTCAAAAAATTCATTCTTGTAAGACTTGTCATTCTGTTAAGTGATTGTTTCTTTGTGTTCTAAAAGTTTGAAACAGTGATTGTTTCTTTGTGTTCTAAAAGTTTTTTTAAATATTGTACTTTTACTTAGTAACTCTCAACATAAGTTGAAATTAAATATCTTAATTATTAAAAATTAAATACTTTCTTAGCAACTCTTAATGTGATCTACTTTTTAACTACCATTTTTTAGTGCCTCTCGACATGGATTGCTCTTTAGTCACCATCTTGAATTTCTTAGTAACTCTTGACATGGATTCTCGACATGGATTGCTCTTTAGCCACCATCTTTAGTTTCTAAGTAATTTTCCATATATTCTTCTTTTTAACCACAATCTTTACTTTCTTAGTAACTCTCCACATAAGTTGTACTGCCTGCTGCATTGTTAAGAAAAATTGAAAAAAAAAATCATAAGTTGCAAGTTCAGTTTTTTCACTTAAAATTGCTTTACTCTATCCTACTGAGAATCTTCGTTTTGAATTGTCTGTTCTTCTATAGTTTATTTTTCCATATCTAGGTTCTCTTAATGATCTTATTTCTTTTTTAGACATTATTCAAAAATGTGATGACTATATTTTTGGTCCTGCAAATGCTGAATTTTTATTTTATCATTGTAAGTTTCTCTTTCTCTTCTCCATTTTAAAAATAATATCAAGTTTTCTGTTCTGAATTATTTTTGTTATGTATGTTCTGCTTGTCTAAATTTCTGCACTTATCTACACATATAAATTTGTCTACTGTGACTGGGTTTAAATTATTCTTTAGAACTTATGTTGTATTGAAATAATTTTTTTTAACCAAATTTTTTGCTTCATTTTTAGTATTAATAAAATTTAATGAAAAAATTGTTCCTAAACAATAATAAATTTTTTTTTTTATAATTTTATTATGATGTTGAATTTATTCAAAAAAAAAAGTAATTTTAATTTTTCTTTAAATTTATATCTTTAAATCTTTATTTATAGAAATATCTTTAAATCTTTATTTTTACAAATATCTTTACTGGTTTCCAACGGAAACCATTTTTTTACAAATGGAATTGTGATTTATAAAAAATGTATTTAAAATAGGAAGTATCTTTGATGAGTGTTTTTTGAACAATAAAAATTATTTTAAAATGAAATTTTTAATTTTTTAATTAGGAATTGTTCGCACACCAATTGCTGGCAATGTTCTTACAAGTCAATGTTTAGATTTAGTGCAAGAATGGGGCATTGATATTGTACCATCCTACATGATAAAATCTAAAGTATGGACTTTTATTCTGATTTAATATAAAAAAAAAAAAAAAAAGTTATTTTGCAGACAAGCGTTATGTCATTGTGAAAAAGTTTTTTTTCAATTGTCTGATAAGAAGGTGATTAGATATAGGTGGTATAAAGGTGTGTTGTACATTATATGTTTCTTATTTAGAAACAAGTTGAGGAAGAGGTGCCAGCAGATTTTAGTTTACGCGATTTACCACCACTAACAGACTCATACAAAACTTATATGAAAAGTGTAAGTTATTAAGGTGTCATATATAATTTTATAATTATCATATTATATAAATGTGTTATATTTTTATTTGTATTGTATTTGTATATGTATTGTATTGAGTTAAAATTTTGGCAGGTAAAAGATGAGATTTTAAAAATATTTTATCAGTATTGTAAAATCAGCATAAAATCAGCATAAAATCAGCATAAAATCAGCAATAAACATATAGCACTTTAGCACACTATCAAGGTTTTTGAAGCAGACATCTATATTTGTGGGGTTAAGATTAGTTGTTTGACTAAGCCTGGAGCTTTTGGTACATGAATGCCAATACCAGTTGTTTCATTCTTTTTTCAGTTTTCTGGTTGTTAATTTTTAACTTAAAAGTTGTTTCTTTTTCATTAAGTTCATTATGCATAGCAAATGCTTGATGAAGATTTATAGAAATTTCATCTTCCTGTGCCTTATTAAAAATATACTTATGTTGTTCATCAAAATCTAAGCTGATATTCATCAAAATATAAGTTATACTGAGTAGTTTCGTTTTTAATCTTTATTTTGTAAACTTCATTTTAAAATTTAAAAATTTTGTGCAGCTGCTTGTAGTAATAAACTGCCAAACTTGACATCTGCTTGTTTTTACTTTCTTAACTTTTAAAGAAAAGTAAATATATTACTCAATTATTAAGGAATTTTGTTTAACTCCATTAACAGAACTCCAGATAAGCAATAAATTCAGATAAGTGGAAAATAAAATAGTAGAAAAACAACTTAAAATGAGTTTTTTTAAATCGAAATTTTAAAAAGTGGTAATAGTAAAAATCCTACTGCAGTTGTGTCTCCTTACTCCATCACTGATATATATATATATATATATATATATATATATATATATATATATATATATATATATATATATATATATATATATATATATATATATATATATATATATATTTAATTTTTTTTTACAGGCAATTGTTTCAGCATAATCTGAACCATTTTCCTAATAACTAAGTTATGCATCACATATTAATCATATTATTTATATTATATTTTATGGTTAATCTTTAATTAACTATACATTTATAATTATGGTAATTTCGAGGTATTTATCTTTAATGAACTATATTTGAAATATGTCCTATAAAATATTTAGGCAATAAAAAATTGCTGTTAAAGATATCTTCAATAATCAATTTAAAAAAAAATTGTTTTTTAAAATTTAAAAAAAAATACCTCCACTACAGTCGAGGAGGCTATTTTTACTCTAAGTAAAAAATACAAGCCTTGACAAACAAGGCCACTGCACACAGAAACAAGTTAAGTGCAGTACTAACAGGGATGCAACCCTATTAGGTTTTCATATATTTAAAAAGGTTTTGAAAAAAAAAGTTCTTATGAAACTTAAAACCACTATAATTTAAGAAAGTAATTATAAACCTATCATAAATATAAAAAACTTAATCATTTTCAGCTGAGATTTTATTATGTCCCACATCACCACACAAGTTATGCTTTTTAAAACATGACTTTTATAAACATTTTTAAGTATAAAATAATATAAAGATAAAATAATATAAACGCAAAAGTTAAATTAAAGTTTTTTTAGAAAAAAGGTTTTTGTGCAAAAGTTCAGAAACTCTACAATTAAAGTTTTTGTAAGCAAATGCATAATTAATTGCAAAAGTATTTATAAAATTTTATAATTTGATAGTTTTAAGATTTCAAAATTTTTTCACTCGTCAAATTTGAAAAACTGGTTAATTTTGATTTTTTTGATCACAGTTCTAAATTGAGTTAACATAACATTTGGTAAAAATTCATTTTATTAGAGAAAGTTTGTGAAAAGTTATTCCTTAGAAACTAAAAAAAATAATTTGGTCTTCCTATCCTTTTGCATACTATTGCATATATTATATTATTATCAATATATTTAATAACTATTTCAAGTTCATATGAAAGTGAAGAAGTCCATTAAAGAGATAGTAGTTAATAGAAGAAGGGTTGCAAATTATGAATCAGAAAACATGATGAGAGTATTCCAAGGTGTCCAGATCTCAAAGAAAACTTAAAATATTAAAGTACATATAACCTTGCCAGTTTACAATGACAAAATAGAACTGAAGAAGTAAAAAAAAATAAAAGAGAAACATTTTTACAGCTTTTCAAATTTTTAGTAAAAAATTTTATATACAAATTTTTATTACTTTTCAAAATCTAAAAAAATGAAAATAAAATAAAATATAAATCAAATACCAATAATAACAAAAATAATTTTAATTTCTTTTATTGTTTTTTATATTTGTCATCACTTTGTTTTTTTATTTTTTCAAATTAATTTTAAATAAAAAAAATTAAAAAAAATAAGAATTTTAGTATGTTGAGACATAATATTAATGAGCCAGACAGTACTTTAATGAGCAAGACAATAATGTTAATGAGCAACATATCACAATCTTTTTAGATATTTATCTAAATGACTTGTTTTACTTATTCTTTTTTTTAACATTTTAAAAGTAAGAACACTTAAAAAATATTTTAAATAAAAATAGTACAATTTGTTGACAAATAGAAAACTATATGTTTTATAAAACCATAAGTGATATATGTAAACCATGAAAAACATATACTATAAAAAAATGTTTTTTTATACCTATACATATAGGTACTAAAAAAACATTTTTTAATATCTATATGTTTTTCATGTTTTAAATATAATCTTTAATTATATAAAAACAATTTGAAAAATTATAATGAAGAAAATTTTATCTTAAGTTGTAAAAAAAATTTTTCTATAACTTATTTTATTTTATATGACATTTCATAATATATAATTTTTTTTTTTTTTCATTAACATTTATTATGGCAGAATTGAAAAGTCTGTTTTTTTAAAAGGAATGACCTTTGTAAATTAAATTTTAAATTAAAGAAAAACTAGACACAATAGAAATGTGGGATTATGTTTGAATTAGGAACTGTCCAATCACGTTAGAATCATGAAGTTTGTTATCAATTAAAGTTTATGTAATCAATTTTTTTTTTGAATATATACTTTTCTTTAAAATTTTAGGAATTGATTCGCGATTTTCAAAAAAATTGTTTACAAGTTTCTGACAGTCCATTTGTGCAAAGGTAATGTTTATATAATTCTGATGGTGATAAAATTTAATATTTAATATATTTTTGTTAAGAGATGTTAACAAAAATATATTAAATTTGTTCTTATCTCTATCAATTGTTCTTATCTCTATCGTTTGTTCTTATCTCTATCGTTTGTTTAATGAATGCTTATTGTAGAGGTTTTTTTTAAACTGTTTAATTTACACATAAGCTTGAACTTTCTTTTTTTTTAATTTGCGACTATGATAAAATTTTTTGTTGCATTTCTATTCTCAGATGTCACTTTTGACAAATTGAAAAAAGGAACTAAACTTTGATATTTTCTGATTTAAATTTTTTCTGGTTGAAAAAAAAACATTTTATTTTCACCAACAAATTTATTTTTATATTTTCTTATTATCAAAAATTTCTTTTTTGGTTAATTTTAGAGCTAATCGTTTTTAATAACTCGCAGCTTTCACTTCTCTTTGTTAAACTAATGGAGTTTTTATACTTTTTATAGTTTAAAAATTGATAATAGCAAGTTAGTAAGTTATCATTGAATTTTTTTCCTTTCTTTTTTTTTTTTTAAAAAAAAGTTTTTTTATACCTAACATATAAAAAAATGGAAACCCAAATATTAAATATAATTTAACTTTAACAATAATGATTATTTGTATTAACCTTAAAGATAAATGCTTTAATCAGGCCACATTTCTCTTAAAAGAAAAAATCAACAAGCCAGAACTTTCCTTCGTGAAAAACAATATGGTTATCAAAATATTCCTTTAAAAAATTTTTTATTATGTTACTACAACCATATGTTGTTTTTTTAAATTATCATTTGTTAAAAATTAGTGGGTTTTTTTTTTTTTTTGCCATAAATAGAGCTGATTAATAGACATTTGGTGTAGATGGGATTACACGCTATATAATGTTATATGGGTATGTATGTGGGTTTACACACTAAATCAAGTTATGTGGTATGTAAAATTTTGTTATAAATAATGATGGTAATTATCAGAAACTTACGTATTGATTTTATACTCTTTATGTATTGCGTTAAGATACCAGATTTCCACAAATATCTTTTTTTAAATATGTTGTTATTATTGTAGCGTATATTTACACAAAGTATTAAAATCATGGTAATTTACATTTTAAATTAATCTTTGATTTTTGATTTGCTTACTAATTTAGTCAGATATTTTTAAACAATTTGTTTGCCATGTTAAACAAATATTTTTGTGATTGAGTATATGTATGGTGGGTAAGTTTTTTTGACAATATCTGACCAACAGTTATACCATAGGTTTCCTAATTTTACTTAAATGGTTCAAAATTTTGTAATAAATGTGGATTAGAAAGTTTTAGACTGTGGATTAGAAAATTTTAGAGGTTAAAATTTGTTGATGCTTTTTTCAAGAGATTCTTTTTGCACCAGTATTATGAAGGTCACTTGTGCTTCCAATGGTTATTAATGGAATTGCAGGTGATATGATTGGTGGAAGCACAAGTGATGGATATTATTATCAGCAAAAGTGGTGGTCATAGTTATGTTGCTGAAAGTGCAAGTAATTTACTTGTGGTTTATACTAATATTGAATAAGTTAATGATATCTTAATTTATTTTTAAATTATTTTGTTATTTTTTAATTGAAAACTGTTATTGTTTTTATTTTTGTATAAATATGTATATATCTATATTTAGCGAATTAGAAAATGTTCCAGGTTTTCATTATGAGTTTCCTAACGGTTATAATCGCCAAGTTGGAATTGAAAGGTTTCGCATTAGTGAGGGTCTTTTTGATACAACTCATATTAAAAATATCAAGGTAAATTATATTGTCATAAATTTATAACAAATATATTTATGTTAAAGTATTGTTTATTTAATTGTTTCTTTTGTTTTGGTTTTTATTTTATTATTTTAATTTAAACCAATGTGTTTTACATAAAACCAATGTGCTTTGTATCAAACCAATGTGCTTTGTATCAAACCAATGACTTTTACATAGCGATATACCGATTGAACATTTGTGGCTGATTTCTAATTACTTTACATATAAGAAGAGTGATGTTTAACAAATGTAAATGTAAGCTTATGCAAATAAAGTTTTTCAACAATCCAATAGACTCATAAAATGAAATTTTGTCTTCTTTCACCAGGAATTTATGTTTTTTGTGATGCAAATTTGTTTTGGGGTAAAAATGTAAAATTATTTAAAGAAACTCAAGATATCTTTGTAAAGTTCATGAAGTAATCTATTTCTTAAAAATTTTTCACTTTTCCGCATAAAAAAGATATTTTCTGGATTCCAATACATGCTTTATTGAAAAAATATAACAAAAGTTCAATCAGCAACAGGTAGATCCTATAAACAATAAAGAAACATTGGAAAAATACATAGTTTATAGTCAAAGGTTTGAAATAGTAGGAAAATAAGTGGAATAGAAGAAGGGTTAGAGTGGAATAAAAGTTCTTTCCATTTTTACCTAATAATCTTCTTATATATTTTATATGCAGCCTTTTCACTCTGATTTTATTAACTTAATTGCATATCATGTTGGTCTCAAAAGAAGTCAAGAAATTTATATACAGATTATTTTATATTGCATTAAAATTATGGTTTATACATGAAATAAAATCATTAATTTTTTAAAGGTTTTTTTTAAAATTTGATTTTAGTTTTTATTTAATTTCACTTTTTTTAAGATCCAGCATGTCGTACTTTTGAAGAAATTTTTTAAAATCCAGCATGTCATACTTTTAAAGAAATTTTTTTTAATGATAATATTGGAGGATCTTCTATAGCTGGTTTAGCAAATGAGCATTTGCTCACTTTTTTTGCTTATCTTTATAGCATACTGCGTTTTTAGAAAAAGAAGAAAAAAACAAAGAATGTTGAAAAAAAAGATTGTTACCCCATCCCAAACCTTCAGTCAATGTAGCAGTACTCCGCTGCGTGTCAGGCTATTTGTCCGTCGATGTATGTACTGAAGCCCCTGGCAGCAGGCTATACCTGTGTAACATTAGAGTGCTTATCTAAACTAGCAATTTAAGTTTTTTTAGAAATTTTTTTCGTCGTTCTATGGCAAATGGACTTTTTTAGACCATTTGCCATAGATAGATCCAAAAGTATTTATCTACCATATGATCAAAGTTTAATTTAAAAGATGTTTTATTAATAGCCAATCTTTAGAAATATAAATAAACAATCTTTAGAAATATGAAAAGAAACTCAAGATCGTGCATGTTTTAACTTTGCTGAATAAGAATTTTGTTGAACTAATTTTTCCCTGAATAAGGTTTTTAGAGTGTATGCTTCTTATCTCTTTTAAATTTATCTTCTTATCTCTTTTAAATTTATCTTCTTATCTCTTTTAAATTTATCTTCTTATCTCTTTTAAATTTATCTTCTTATCTCTTTTAAATTGCTAATTATGATAATTATGATATGGCAGGCTAGGACTAAGGATAAAATAACTATTGTTAAATTACAGAAATTTGAAGTCCAGTTTTTAAAAATATGATAGGTCTAGTCATAGACAAACTAAAAATAGGGCAGGTACATCCTAAATGCTAACAAGACTTATTTTTACAAGAATATCTATTTTTAAATCTACACTTTTAATGGCTCCAAACCTTAGTAAATGGATTTGCAAATTTAGAAAATTGCAAAACATTTTCAAAATGAAAGTAGACAAGATTAACCATCTTTTTTTTCTTTTATACTATAAATCATTATTGAGAACACTCGTTTTCTTGATAATGATTTATAAAAAATAATTTACCAAAAAAAAAAAGGATAAAATTAAAGAACATGTTTGATCACTCTGATGAAGTTTTCAAGCGTCGCTGTAGATTCATTTGCAGTCATCCATATATAAGACACATCCTTTAAAAATAAGATAGATATTAGATTTTACAAGAAAACAATTAGAACTCATAGAACAAATCCACATTGAACCAATAACCAGCTAGCTTGACTCAAACCTTAGTTTTGATATCTATATCACAGTTTTATAATAGAGATTTTCTTAAAAAAAGGATTTTCTGGTTATGATGGATTCTACTCTAGCAGTGTTTCATGTGGAACAAGTACTGTGAAGTTCAAATGAAATTTGTAGGAAAGCTATTGGTCTAATTAACCTGAAGTTTTTTCAAAACCAATATTTTAAAAAATGAATTGGCAATCAATAAATAAAAACATATTGATTGTCTGAGGCAATTAATACCTTTTATTAATGAACATTTTAAAAATAAAGAATTTGTTTTGGATAGTTAAAAATAAAGAATATTTGTTCTGGCGAGATTTAGCTAGTTCACCCTATGCTAATGATGTTATTAAATTCTTGAATGCCAATAAAATCAAATGCATGCTAAAATTAAATAATTTTAGATAATGTCCCAGAAGCATGGCTGGCTAAAATTAAATAAATTTAGATAATGCTCCAGAAGCATGAATGGCTAAGATTAATTAAATTTAGATAATGTTTCAGAAGCATGACTGACGATTGTAATGCTTTATATACAAGAATGGTAGCAAATGTTCCTCAACTTAAACAGAATTTTAAAGTCTTAAGAAAATCTACTAGGAATTGCTTGATATGCTTTACTGACTTCAATTAAGTTGAGTTGCTTAATAAAACCTTTCTTATATATAAATGTGAATAAAATTTCTTAAATTTGTTGAGTAAAAAAGGTTTTTATTAAGTAAAAATACGCCGAGTAAAAAAAAATTATTACAATTTTAGTTAAGCTACTTTAATATTTTTATTTTTGTCTCATTTTTTATTTGTCGTATTTTATTGCTTGTTAACAAAAATAGAAAATTAACGAAATTGTGTAAATAAAATTCATAAATTTTTCAAGAATAACGTTATTATTATTATTATTATTATAATTATTATTTTTTTTTAATCTATGTACATTGAATTGAACTAATCTTTTAAACTAATAATGATAAAAACAACAACAAAATGTGTAAAAGCTTCTTCTGGATCTAAATTTTTTTAAGTAATTTTTGTGTTTCTTTAAGATCTCAACTTTTCTTTCTTATCTCTGATCCTTCAGAGAGATTAAGTCAAACTTAAAAATTTATTTATTGTTTTTGTAATTATTTTTAACAGGGATTCGAAAGTACGACACTTTTAGGAGCTCCTCATGTAATCAACACTTGCATAGGAATGTGTGATATTGATATTAGACCGGTATGTCTATGCTTATAAATAATAGAATATATTACCGTTTTTCTTCCTTTTTTTTGTGTGGCTTTTTATGGCTTTAGTTTTTGTTTTAGGCTCTCTACAACAGCATTGTAGTTGTTGGTGGAAATACGCTTATTAACGGTTTTGTCGAACGGCTTAACCGCGAACTTCTTCAAAAAACACCTAGTGTATGCTTTTCATTTAACACCGTTTTTTAACTGTAAACTATTTTAAATAAATTCATTGTATATAACATTTTAAAAGAATGAGAATAAGTAAAAAACATCCAACAAGTAACATTTAATAAAATCTTTTTTATTTAGAATATGAGATTGAAACTGGTATCAAACAATCAATCTTCTGAAAGGAGGTTTAGCTCGTGGATAGGTGGATCGATTCTTGGTTCACTGGTAGGTTGTACATTTTAATATTATTCTTTGATAATTTTTTCAATGAGTATAATGATGTGGTTTGACTAGCTTTCTGATCATGTTTTTCTAATTTCAAGGGTTCGTTCCAACAAATGTGGGTTTCAAAACAAGAATACGAAGAGTCTGGCGCAAAAGTTGTTGAAAAGAAATGTCCTTGAAATGAAATTTTCTTATAAATTTGCATATTATAGGATTATCTCAACAACGAAAAAAAAAGAATTTTACAATATTTTAAATTTCTTTAGATCTAAGTATTCGATCTATTCAAAAATTCAGAAGTTTTGTTAACCACCCTATAGTAACCAACTTGAATTTGTTAACCTAAAGAAATGAATAGATTATTTGACGTAGTTGTTTAGCACAAATTTGTGTGATGAAATAAAATAAAAATTAATTTAAAAAAATTAAAACATGTGTTATATATAAGAGTTTTTTTTACTTAGTATACTTAGATATTAATGTGTAATGTTATAATAATGCGTAAGCTTGAATACGTAATTTTAATGGCACATTGCTTCTTACAATTTGATATTTAAAATATAAACTAAAATCCGCAGCTCCTTTTCCACTTACCTTCAAAACAAAGTATTTAGATGCTTATGATATATTAGGATATATACAATACATATTAATACTGATCAATACATATTCTTTTTATTAACTTATATTTCTTTAAAATTCAAATAACAATATAAAAGATCTATTTTAAGAACAGTTTAAATTTCATATAAATATTATTCATATATATATATATATATATATATATATATATATATATATATATATATATATATATATATATATATATATATATATATATATCAACTTGTTTCTCCGCGCAGCGGCCATGTTCGCCAAGGTTCGTCTTTCGGAGTTATAGAGAGGGTTATAACCACAATTAAGTAGCCTCCTCATTTATAGTTGCCTTCTCGGCCTTGGGGGGAGGGGGTGAGTTAAATATATATATCCTATATTGCGTTGAAAAGTCATTTCGTTACGAGAAATTCTAACTTTTAAGTTTTTAAATAAAATATTTATAAAACCTCTGTTATAAACATTATTAGAGAGCCTATATACTCAGAGAGCGGATTTACGGAAAACGGTGTTCATTTTTTTGCCAAATTAGCGCGTGACAAATGAATTAAGGTATAAACAATTGTAAAACAATATTTTAAACGAAAATTTGTTTTGAAAGTTTAAATATTTTATGTGTTTTTTTATGCATTTTTTAAATAAGATTATTAACAAAAATCTATTTGACAAATAAATAAATTCCTTTAAAAAACGTCAAAAATTACTTGTAATTTGTAAGTAACTTAACAGACCTGACTAAAGGTTTTTTTATAAATTAGTTTTATGAATCTAAACTTTCAAAGTAAATGTATGCATTGTCCATAATCTTGCTGCCAAGTTCAATACTATTTTTTTTAACTTCATTTTTTTTCTAAAGTCTAAATATTCCAGGTCTGAATTTTTTAAACCTGTTTTCAAGTTTCGATAAAAATAAATGAGAATAAGGATAAAAGCTAAACTTTTAATTTGTTCATCATTTTTTTAATTTGTTTTCTAAAATTCTATACTATTAAAGTATAGAATTAAAAATCTTTAAGGAAAAAAGTTATCGCTAAAATGATCTAACACAAATTCTATTTGTAAAACAAAAATGTAAAGTTTGTTTCATTATCAAAAAATAAACTTCCACATTGTGCTCTTTGTGTGTAATGAATTTCCACATTGTGTTCTTTGTGTGTAAAAAACATTGTATAATCAGCATTTTACTATATTTATAAAAAATTAAGATTCAAAACAAATTAGGAAAATTCATTAAATTTCTTCAACTCTAGAAGTTATACTTAGTTGTATCCCGCATTATAAAAAAAACTATTTTGCTCAGCTTAAGACAAATTTTGACGTTTTATCCAAATCTTTGAGTAAAACAATTTCCTCTTTGTTTCCTTCAAGTCAAGAAAACACAATAAAAATTGATGGTCACCATGGTATCGTAACTTTGATGATTTTTTAAGAGTTGAGCAACACAAATAAGTTTCAAGTTTTTGTATTGAAAGCTGCAGGATTTATTTTGAGAACGTACCAATTATAAATATTTTTTAAGTAATTCTGAGTAAATCGCTATTTGCATATTAAAAGTTTTTTTTTTTCAAGAACAAACTTAATTTGCAATTTTGGTTGTCGACAAAATACCAGATAGAAAAAAATTTCCACCTTATCTTTCTATTTTGGCTCAATTGTTGCAATCCACATCATACCTTTATAATTTCATTGAAAAAAGTTTTTGTTTCATTGTAAATTTAGTGTTTTTTTATAATAAAAGTCATAGTAGGGTTTCGTAATTTCATAAATGTAAACCATTTATTGATAATTCAGTTTAATCAAACAGTTATGAGAATCTTTTTTTATTTGCGATAAATTTTAATCCACAACTTCTTGATTTACAAAAAATTCAATATAATACTCTTACAATATAATATATTTTATATGGTTCTGGCGACAAGATCATTTGGATCTTCTTTCAGATACCAAGTTTATATATTGTTATATTACGATTAATAATTGTAAACTAAAAAAAAAAAAAAATACTCTTTATACTTTTATTTTGTTGAAATGTTTTTCATCAAAATGCTAAGTTTATAAACCAACTTCAAACCCATATTTAGAATGTCAACAACCTTGTGCAGGAATTTCAAATCTATAACTAATTCCTATAAGCATAAAAACTGAAGTTTTTGCTAGGTCATTATGTTAAGGTAATATAGCAGTTCCATAGTATGAGTTTGAGGTGTATTATAGTTAACAGTTTCAGTTATTGACATTTCATCAAAAACTGAAGCACATTCTTTTTCATAAATTTTTATTAAATTCACATTAGCTTTCATAAACTTTTAGAATATTTAACAAAAGTTTAATAGCAAGTTCACTCGCAGTTAGTTTTGTTTGCAAAAACATGGCGTCTAAAACAATAAAAATCTAATATCCAATTAAAAACGGTCACACGTATATCCGCTCTCTGAGTATATAGGCTCTCTAAACATTATTATATACAATCTCGTGTCCTTAATAGAAAGGGGTGGGGGGAACATTTTTCCATCCCACTCTAATTTTATTAAGACCCCCTCACTCCCATTAATTAATTTTTACTTGTTATCAAATATACAGATAAAACAGCTGTATATTTGATAACAAGTAAAAAAATTTCCACCAGCCTTTTTATTAACCCCCCCCCTCCCTTGTTTATTAGATCTGGACCAAAATTCCGAGGGAATATCAGGACCGAATACACGAGGGAATATCAGCATTGGTGGAATATAACCACCTCCCGCATTAATAGTCGCTATCAACGAAACTGTTGTTCCTCTTTCATCGCTAGTCATTGACCCAACTTGCTTCAGCCAAGAGGTGCTAATATCTTTGGAGGAACATGGACAGTGTCATCAAATTTCCAGATATCAGTTGCTTTTATGTCAGAGGGACATTGAGGATAGGCTTTCTTAAAATTGTCGTATGTTAAACTCACAGTGTGTTTGTTAAACACCAAAGAGCAAGCCAAACTAGTAGCTTCAGACTTTCTTAAAGACAATTTGTTTTGGTATTGCTTCCTAAATAATTGCAGTCAATAATATCTAGACATTTTGTTTATATCCCAGCTTTAGGGTACTAAAGCTGTAGGTAGGTAAAATAACATTTAAACATTTAACTACAAAATAAACTTATTGTAAACATATACTTAAAAAAACTTAAAGCAGTATGTTGATAAAAAAGACTTATGAAACTTACTATAATATATTAATTACTTTATTATAAGAAGTATGTACTAAGCATTATTATACTAAGTATGTACTAAGCATTATTATATTAAGTATGTACTAAGCATTATTATAAGAAGTATGTACTAAGCATTATTATATTAATTATGTACTAAGCATTATTATAAGAAGTATGTACTAAGCAGATTGTATTTTACATTATATAACTAGAAATTTTTCAAATAGAGATATAAACAAAACTCTAAAATGTTGCAAATCACAACAAAGTTACAAAATAAAAAAAGTAAATGTAAAAAACTAAACATTCTCTTTAAAAAATATCTAATTATATAGTGTAAAATACACACAGGTTAGTATATATTAAAAAAAAAATTTTTTATCTAAGAAAATAATTTTTAAAAATCTAATTCTATGATCTAATTTCTCTTGAGTGATATTTTCTCACTTAGGACTTTTAGAAATGTTCGTGTCAAAAAATGCAAGAAGGGACACTAACAAAACTAATAATAAATTGTTCAGTATTATAACATCAGGTTGTACCTTGGCCACTGACCAAGGAACAAATAATCGTCAGTGACCGAGATAAAACACTACTCCAACTTCAACATAACGAAGGATTATAAATAGTTTTGAGGTTACTTATCTCGTAAGTTTTTTATTGTTTAGACACTTGTTAAATAAAAGAAACCATAGCGTATAAAAAGTAATTGACTATTATAAAACGTTCAAAAAAATCAGACTTCAAAATATATTAAATACTTACTTTTTCACCCCAAAAAATGTTAATGTTGATAACAGCAAACACCAGATTAATGGCGGTATGTGACTAACTTCACATTGAATAGTCGGTAGTGATGTACCAAATACCATAGATAGTAAAATCAATATGGCGCGAATATTATGCAGATGAAACAAATATAATGAATAATATATATGAGTAATATGCAGATGAAATAAATGGAAATAAAGTTATAGATTGCTAGGAACAATTAAAAAATATTATTTTTAAAGTTGAAGTCAGATCTTTAAAGTCAGAGCATTTATCCATCGAGGTATTTTTCCTGAACATTTAAAACATACTAGGGTTACCCCTATCCATAAAGAAGGCAACAAATCCAATATCAGTAGTTATAGTCCCGCCTCTGTTCTTTCCATATTTTCTAAAATTTTAGAAAGAATTATCTTCAACAGGGTATGTAATTATTTTAATTATAACAACTTACTTCATAACAATCAGTATGGTTTCAGAAAAGGGAGTTTAACTGAACATGCCATTATTCAATTTATACATAACATCTCTGAATCTTTTGAAAAATCCCAATATACACTAGGTGTTTTTATTGATCTATCAAAAGCTTTTGATACGGTCGATCATCACATGCTAATCCAAAAAATTAAACATTATGGTTTAAACAATAGAATTCTAAAATGGTTTGATGACTATTTAACAAATCGAAAACAAATTGTGTATAAAAATGATGGTCAGCAAAGTGAATACCACAGGTTATGCTCAGGGGGCATAACCTGTGGTGTTCACAGGTTATGCCCCCTGACATATTCCACAAGGTTCTATTCTCGGATCACTACTATTTTTAATATATGTAAATGACTTAAACAAAGCTTCCAAATTGAAAAGTAT